CTAAGTGTGAGTCACTCATGCTTTGGTTCCCCTATTAGTCCTACCAGCATGGCATTTGCTGTTGCATCCACTGTGTGGCTGTGGTAATTGTGTGGCTGTACAGCTCTTCCACTCAAACCGTGGTTGCATCTCTTCTGACAGACTTTAGCTTTGCATCTTACATGGTACTCCCTCTTGATGCCTCTAAAATGAAAGGGAAATACTGAGTTTATTCATGAATTTATTTAAAGCATTTGCCTGGAGCATTTGCAGCCAGATAGACTTCACAGAGCTTCCAAATATTAAATGGATTCAGCGTCAAAAAGTAGAAAAGATAGCAAAAACAGAAATCTTACTTCTTGGTCCCTTAATAGTTTGTACCCTCAAATAAAATTTCATGAGAATATGTGCCTTGCATGTAGGTCATTCAGCTATCTTCTTATAGAGGGAAAGAAGTAGTATGAAAATAAAGAAACCTCACATGTGACCAGATCCTTTATTTTGGTTATATGGGTATAATTTCAAGAGCTTTACCCAATTAAAAGCTGCTGTGGAACCACAAAAAAGTATGGCGAAAACTGGTTGCAAACCGTTGAAAAGCTAATTTGTCAAAATTCCTTAAAAAATATTGTCTTTAAATGTATTCTATTTTAGGTAAGTATGAGCCACAGATGGCCATGAATTTCAAAATTTCATGAGTCAATGGTCATTGCAGTGTACAAAACTGGTGTGTGTGGGTACATTTGCATAAATATGTATCTGTACAAATATAATCTATGTTTCAAGTGGCCTCACAGTGTCATCATACGCCTGTAGGGACAGACACAAGGACAAATGCCACACAGTTCTCACTATTCGTTCTTCAAGAACAGCTGCCATCATTTTTGCATTAAGTACGGGCCTTCTGTCTTCTGAAAACTTCTGCTCTGATTATTGTCTGTTTAGAATGTAGATCTGAAAGTTCACTGCAGAAAAAACACACCCTGTAATTCCTTCGTGAAGTGGTTATGAGCCATTCCTCATTAGAAATGGGGTGAGGTACTGTCGTAAACTCAGGTGATTCACATTATATTGTCGAATGCAAACTATTTCGGTTATCCTTCATCACTGGAACAGTCTCTCACGTTCTTCACTTCTTCAATACCATCGCTCTGACTGGCCCACAGCTATGAAGGACACACACCATGCTGCCATTTTGAGTATTTGGGGAACAATGACTTGGAGAAGCAATTCGAGGAGCTTATTGATCACACAGATTTATTACTAGGTAACTTTAAATAATAATCTACCTAAGGACATTTGTAATAAAACAAAGAAGTTATCAATTGAAATTATTTGATTTTTTTTTTTAAGATGATACCAGACAGTAAATATCTGCCTTATTTAACATTTTAACTAACTTGCCTTTCAACTAGTGTACTCTCTCTCTAAGTTAACCTGAAATCTCTTGCCCTCTCAAATAAAGATGAAGCTTGTTTTTTTTCATTTGAGGTGGCTACTCACTTTGCTTTTATCCATTTCTGTCCCTTCTCTGGGGACAGAGCAGTAGTCAATGATTGTCTCTTACTAGCTTTTTAATACACACATAATGTTTCCAGAACTAAATCAAAGAACTTCTACTTCCTTGCAAGCAAGGCTATGCCTTTAGCAACTCACATTTACAGAAATATAGTTATAACATTAATCCCTATGAGACGTATAGCCAGAAATTCATATTCACCAGCGAGTTTTCAAATTACAGTCTCTGATTCAGGTCTTCTAGGCAAGTTTTGTTTGTTTCAGGTTTCGGTATGTTTGGTTTTGGTTGGTTCAAGTTTCAGCATTTGCAAATAAACTGTATCCAGTCCATGGTTTTTTCTTTATACTGAGTATCAGGTGGTAGCTAGGACTCTATCTGTCACCTAATTAATAGTGATAATAAGAATATCTTTGTTTTCATGATTTTGTCTTCTTAAGGACTTAATGTTTTGAGAGACTGGTCTGGCGATGCCTTTCGTACCTTGAAAGCTTCTCAAACAGCTCCAGGAAAAGCCTCAAGTGAAAAAATCCTGAGACAAATATACATATTTTCCATCATGCAATAAATCTAATTACTTTGGGAATTTAACAAACAGGCAGGCAAAGATTTCTGATTGAGAATGTCTTTCCAATAGCCTTTTTATATCATTGTGATACCAGCCCTGCTAGTAGATTAGATCAAGTCACCATACCGCTGCTGTAACATATAAAAACTTGCCTTCTCAGGTAGACAAGACTTAAGTTTTTTTAAATCAGAATATGATTAAAAAAACATTAATAATCTAATTAGTTTTAGAACTTTTAGTCTTTGTGTTGTTTCAACTTTGCAGTTTAAGTAGTCTACATGTACAGCATTGCAAACTGGGTTTACCTGTTGTGAACTCTAATCATCCTCAGATTGAGAATTTTTCAGTCAATTTTTCAAGTATGAATAACTAATGAAAAATCATGCTTGAAATTTTCGGAGTTGAGAGCATATTTGGTGGCATTTTTAAAAACATCATCAATGTACGGGTTTGACAGCTAGATAGTTATGAAACTGTCCTGTTTCATTAACAAAATTCTTTGTAGTTATTTGATAGTCCCAAGTGAAACCAGAAGTCACACGAACTTTAGTGATATTTTTAAACAATGTTACTATGCTGGGTGATGATGACTAGCACCTAAAATGTGATTCCTCCCCAGTGTGGGACAGATATATGTCATCAGAAGCAGTAGCGTAAAATTTACTTTTTTTGGAGGTGAGACTCTTCCTCCCTATTAGGAAAAAGCTAAACAATTTAATGTCGGGAAACTATTTTGAGAAAAGGAATGATTTCTCTATATAGTCTCTGCATATGTATGTGTTTATGTACATACTTTGGATTCTGTTCCTTCAATAGCGTTATGGTGAATTAAATTGCTACCATAAAGAGCAAGAGAAAAATAATTACCTTTAACAAAGTATAAAGCATATCAATAAAAATGACATCTCTCATCTAAATGTTTTACAAACACAGAAAGCATTTATAGTCTTAGGAGTCATGTGACAACCAGTTTTATTAATCGGTGATAATAATGTTATCTCTTCAACATAGAGTTATTTCTTTAGTTCCCAATGTGCATTTTTACACAATTTAGCATGTGTGTAGAGAAAGAATAGTAAGGATTATGTATAAATGCATATAGGTACTTAATAACTAAATAGTGCTACTAGACCCTGTTACTCTTTTCTGACGAAAGGCCCGTTTTTAATTTCAGTTCACATTGTATTAACAAATAAAGTATATATTGTAATCATTGTAAGCTTTAAACTATAACTTGGTGCTATGATTGTGAGAAGAAATAGATGTTTACCATTTGTTAGGTACACTTGAATCCAGATCCTGCGAGTGTATATGTATGCCTACGTATATATATATATTGCTTTAGCTGCATGAGAAATAATGACAGAGGGTCACTACTTGCAGGACTGTGGTCACAACTGAGTCAGAGTACACAATCTATTAAGTGTTTTAACTTAATTATTAATTTTTGTTAGTGTGAAATAGTCCTATTTCCTTCCTTTGTTTTGCATATGTGTGTGTGTACATAGCCTTAGTAAGATTTAGAAGGGACCCTGCAAAAAATCAAGAAATACAGATTGGCTCGACGTCACATCATACTGTAATGAGATATTCTTATGAGATCAGTGATTTTTATCTTGTTAAACAAAAGGCATGTCTTCTTTGAGAGATGGAATCTTTAGATACATGAAGTTCTTGCCTGGTTTAGCTTTGAATTGGTTATTTGAATGAGCATAACATAATGGAATTTTGAAAACAATAGATAACCATCTACTGAGTAAAAACTTTTATCATATCTTATGAACTGCATGTTTTGACAGTGCATCGACCAGAATTTAACCAGTGTGGATGAAGGCGTTCTTTTGTATGCTGAAGCATCAGAGTATTTAAAATCTGAATTGTTCTGAATCTTTACAAGGATGGTATTCAGGCAGAATTATTGAGAGTAAAATGAATTAAAGCAAAGCATATGAGTTAAAAAATAAACAAACTAACAAAATCCTGAATCCATAAGGAGGGCAAAAAGTTTCCTTTTTCTTTACCTTAATAGGAGTGAGCATTTTTCTTTTTATTTAATTGGGGTGAAAATTGTATCTATGCCTAAGAAGAATACGTATAAATAATACTTTGAGAACATAGGTATATTTAATTTCACATAGAATAGTATGACAAGCTATACTCGATGTTTGTAATTGATGTAGTAGAGGAAGAGAATCTCCCTCATTTAGTGCATGTTTGCAGTCCTTCAAATTTTTGCTTCCTTTTTTGCTATGATAGCTAGTTAACAATACACACTAACAACTTCTGAATAATATGCTATATGTTCTTAATAATAAATGTACAGAATGAGCCCATTAACAATAATTATTTGGGAGGAAAAAAGTAGACTATGTTAGGTTTGCATTTAGTATTAACAACTGTGATTGCATTTACTACAATTCCATATAAACAAGACATTTTATGAATTACGATTTTTTATGGACACAATTGTACCTTCTTGGAGACAGATGGAATAGACAGTATGAAGAAACTTCACTCAATCTGAGTAAGACTAAAGTAGAATGATTTTTTAAAGGCAAGGTTCAGTTTTCACTTTTGTAAAAACCATGCTGAGGCTTGTCCTTGATTTCATCACCTCCCTTTTCAAAAATTATATCTCCTGAGCAAATAAATGCATGTTCTTTATTCCACACTAGCAGCAGTGTGAAAAAGAGTCCAGCATAATGCACTCGTGTATGAAACATTACATTCACTGTATATATGTGCTTTGCCTAAATAATCTATTTTTAACACTTTTTACTAAACATACATACATAAACTGTGCTGTTAACTTGTAGCTGTTGCTGTCTGTATTTTTCTGCAAAACAGGTTTTATTTTGATTCTCACATATCCAATTGTGCCATTTTCAATAGATTTCTTTGTTTTAAAGAGGATTGGTTTTTATTTTTATTTTACAGAGTTACATACATGGAAGCAGTCAGGCTCAGTTTGTTGCAGAATCACATATTATTCTTCTGCTGAGTATCCTTCAAACTGGTGATGACTAGAAAAAAAGCAAGCTGAGGCACAGTGTGCTGTTAAATAAAATTGCTCTGACAGTGAATATCATTGAACTTTTGAGCAGGTATTGTATTTTGGCTTACTTACTATATGTTTAAGTAAATACTCAATGTTGCTATTTACTGCCAAGTAAAGCTGGCGTTACTTTTCACTAATATGTACCTTGTTATCTCCTTTGTTACTCTTATGCCTGGTTACTAATCTTAATGTTTTTCCTTTCAGTGTTATCTTTTAAGTAGCAGAAACTAATTTTCTTCTCTTTATTATAAAAGTTAAAAATTTGATGTTAAAAATTATTTTATTTCTTTTAATAGACAAGAAAAGCATACTGAAATTTACTAGTCATGCATGAAGATGATTTGTCCTCCAGTAGTCTTTGGTTTGGTTTTTTTTTCCACCTAATCTAAACAGTTTATTACTACTTCTTGAAACAAATAACCCAATCCCATTTGTTCTGACCGTCTCCTCACAGAAAGACTCTGAGACCTACTTTTACTCTTTCATTCTTACTGAGTCAAAGCAAGGTCATTTTTTTTTTTTTCTTCTGAATATGTCTTTATAATCTGTAAGACAAACTCATATGCTATCTGGTTTCTTTAAACCTTGCTTCTAATCAGCTTTGTTCATTGAGTGAAAACTCTAGTCACCATTAACCACTATTAAAATACAGTTGTTCCATCACAAATACCTTCCTCTAAGGAGAACAAGAGGAAGAAAATAACATTTCCCAATTTGAAGTAACAGCCAGATCTCAGAGTTTGATGATCATAGCTAGTCTCTTGTTCTCTCCCTGAAGTTATGTTGGCTTAGATCCTGCCCTTCCTCTGGCTTCCCTGTCTACCCTCATCTTTGGCATTTACTATCCAAAGAGAACACCGTCATTACATCATTTTGCCTCGTTACATTCATTCACCTGGTATCAATTTTGCTACCTGTGAAACCTTATTTGCTCCGTAAATAGCCATTACAAATTTAATTTCAAAGTTATGACCATATTTTGCAGAGTAAATGCACTATTCACAATTCAACTGGAATACTGTGTCCAGTTCTGGATCCCCCAGTACAGGAAAGATGCAGACTTACTTGAGCAAGTCCAGCAAAGGGCCACAATGATGATGAAGGGACTGGAGTATCTCTCCTATGAGGAGAGGCTGAGAGAGCTAGGACTGTTTAAGCTGGAGAAGAGAAGGCTCTCAGGGGGATCTTGTCGATGTCTATAGATACCTCATGGGAGGGAATGAAGAAGAAGGAGACAGACTTTCTTTGTAGTGCCCTCTGACAGGACAAGAGTAGGCCCAAATTGAAAAACAGGAAATTCAGTCTGAAGGCAAGAAGACAATTCTTACTGTGAGGGCGGTAAACTCTGGAACGGGTTGCCTAGAGGGGCTGTAGAGTCTCCATCTGTGAAGATATTCAAAACCCGACTGGACACGGTTCTGGGCAACCTGCTCTAGCAGGTTGCTTGAGCAGAGGAGTTGGATTAGATGATCTCAAGAGGTCCCTTCCAATCTGTGATTCTGTCAGTTCTCCAGGTTTTATATCGTACCCTAATTAATGTTGTTTCAAAATCACATTGTATTCATTAAAGTTTTGGAAGCACATTTATTTGTTCATTATTTCTAAATTTGGGCTCCTTTTCTTGGGAAGAGAGAGTTAAAGATAAATAGTTTTACCTGAAAACTGCCAAGTCAAAACTCAGTGATTATTAATTTAATTGCTACATTTTTCAAAAGTACACAGAGACAGCTGTTATGTTTCAGATGAAAAGTTTCTTGTATAATAGACAGTATGCATCTCATTAGTGTCACCTTTATGCTTTCTTTTGTATAGCCACAATTTATTTTTTAATGTTTTCTGCTTTTCCCAAACTGCCACAATTTAAACAAATCTGTTATCTAAAACAAATCCTGTTGGCTGCTTGAGAATGGTAAAAGTAAACCCAAAAAACAGCTAAGATTAAAAATAAACAAAACTTTTGTTGATTACATATTTTGTTTGTCTGACTCAGGCATGAAAGTGATATCTTTTTGTTGGCAGAGACTGTCTTTAAACTGGGAAGTTGGCTAACTACATTAAAGCAGCTGGCTGAAAGAATCCTTTCAGTGACGTTGTTCATTGCCACTTGCAAAAAGAATTCTCTAAGGTTTCATTTCATGGCTCAACACTGTTGAGCTGAGTTTTTGGTCACACACAAATTTTACAAGTGACATTAAATCTTGACAGATTTTAACAGTTATGCATGAAAGAATTAATGTTTCTTTATCCTTTCAGTATTGGTAGTAATTATTAGCTGCTTCATTGTTTCTTCATTATTTGTTTATTCAGGAAATGTTGATAGAAAATGTGGGAATTAGAAAAAAAGTATGCCAGATGGATATACAGTAGTACATTCATTTTAAAGTTTAAAAGATGCATTGAATTTTAAAACAAGACATTACTATGCTGGCACATGCTTCATTTGGTTGCTTCTTTTCACTTTGTACTAGTAAGAACAAGGACAAGGTTGTCACTTCTTGCTAGATGTTGAAATGCAATGTTGTGTTTCTCTATAAAGTGAATTTATAATACCTGTGATGAGAAAATATGAATTTCCATTGCATTTCTATACTTGCTTTTAGATAGTGATTCTACCCAGTCTGCTAGATGATTTCCATATAAAGATCTGCTGGTTTTTCCAGAGCTGTAGCTATATAATTAGGACGTGGGTAAGAAGGACTTGTGAAGATGTCAGATATTCAGTTTCAATTATATTATAAAGCAACATTAAATTCAGTAAAATCTATACAATGTTACTGATTACATACTAGGTGTATGCCCAAAACTTTTATATCTTAAACAAGTAGTTTTAGTCCTAACAGATGGTTACTACATCTTAGTAGTACCACAATGGAAGTCACTGTAATAATACAGCATGTACAGTGTTACATCAGTAAAACAATTCTAAAAAAAAAAAAATCATTTTGATTATTTTTGTACTTAATTTTATTTCTATGATATGTTTTCTAACAGCCAAAATACTGATACTGCATTTAGCAGCAGATCAGACTAGCTGAAATGGGTTAGATTTAACACTTTCTGAAGACATTAAAAACTCACGCTAAGCAAGCTCCTCAGAACAAGGAGGCATTCTTTCATTTCCAAAGTCCCAAACCAGGTTCTGATTCATTTTGAGGCTCCTTAGAGGTGGCTGATGGGGGCCATCTTACCGAGTCCACAGTATCTTATACAGTGGGTGAAGTTTCCTTTTAGAACTGAAGAAAAAAAATCACCATATTTCACCATAGACCTTGTTGAATTCCAGGCTGCAGAATAGTAAATACAAATTTGAGTAGGCTTTTAAAAACTGAGTGTGTGGGTTGACCCTGGCTGGACACCAGGTGCCCACCAAAGCCGCTCTATCACTCCCCCTCCTCAGCTGGACTGGGGAGAGAAAAATATAACAAAAGGCTCATGGGTCGAGATAAGAACAGGGAGAGATCATGCGCCAATTACCGTCATGGGCAAAAGAGACTCAACTCAGGGAAATTAATTTAATTTATTGCCAATCAAAATCAGAGTAGGATAATGAGAAATAAAACAAATCATAAAACACCTTCCCCCCCACCCCTCCCTTCTTCCCGGACTTAACTTTACTCCCCAATTCTCTACCTCCTCCCCACCAGCATCGCAGGGGGATGGGGAATGGGGGTTGTGGTCAGTTCATCACACATTATCTCTGCTGCTCCTTCCTCCTCAGGGGGAGGACTCCTCACACTCTTCCCCTGCTCTAGCGTGGGGTCCCTCCCATTGGAGACAGTCCTCCACAAACTTCTCCAATGTGAGTCCTTTCCATGGGGTGCAGTCCTTCACAAACTGCTACAGCATGGGTCCCTTCCATGGGGTGCAGTGCTTCAGGAACAGACTGCTCCAGCATGGGTCCCTCAGGGGGTCACAAGTCCTGCCAGCAAACCTGCTCCAGCGTGGGCTCCTCTCTCTCCACGGGTCCACAGGTCCTGCTAGGAGCCTGCTCCAGCACAGACTTTCCACGGGGTCACAGCCTCCTTTGGGCGCATCCACCTGCTCTGGTGAGGGGTCCTCCATGGGTTGCAGGTGGATATCTGCTCC